ATGGATCATGGCTGAAAGCGGGGAGTACCAGACGAATGTCTATCTCTGTTTTATTGATTATGCAAAGGCGTTTGACTATGTGGATCATAACAAAATGTGTTTCTCTACGAGAAGAATGGGAATCCCAGAACCTTTGATCATGCTAATGTGAAACCTACACTTGGACCAGGAGGCAGTTATCAGAATAGAGCAAGGAAACACTGCATGGTTCAGAATTGGGAAAGGTGTAACTCTGGGATGTGTTCTATTTCCATACCTTTTCAAAATATATGCAGAACAGATTATCTGGGAGACTGAGCTGTGACTCATAGCAATCTTATATACAGCAGCTCTGAAGCCTGCCCTGTCCTGAGCCAGTTTCACTTACTCTAACACATCTATCCCCATTGTTCCAGTTACTATATCAATCCATCTCATGTGGGGTCTTCCTCTCCTGTACTGTCCCTCCACCCTTCCAAGCATGATATCCTTCTCAAAGGACCAGCCCCTCAAGCCTTGTGCCCAAAATATGTGAGACAGAGCTTCAAAATATAGCCTCCTTTGTGTTCAACTTCTGGATTAACTGTACTCTTGTTTTGATAGGATGCATGATGGGAGAGATTTGTGCCAGTATCCACCAAAGATGGAATCTATATTCATCACACTTTGGTTTTAAGTTTTAATTGTTTTTGGTATATGAATCACAAGTGACAACTGATACAAAGGCAACAAATAATTATATACTTCAACTTGTCTTTATAACAAGTTTTACTTAGGAAATATTGTTATGTTGTTGTAGAGTAGGGGCCAACCCATTGCTGACCCTCTGGCAGGTTTTAAGAGGTAGTTAATTGCACAGGATGAGATTGCTTATCCTTCTCCTGCAGAGATGCATGTGGCCTTGAAACAAGTTCCTTCAAGATTGCAGTGCAACTTTTTGCCCTTCGGCCACCAGACCTCACTTATGGAAGACAGGAGGAAATAGTCCAACTATCATTCAGTTTCCATAATGAGGGTCCACTACTTAAAAAATTCATAGCCTCTCTTTTGGTTTTAATTCACCAGTGGCTTCAAGGTAAAAAGATGGGAAATTTCATTCTGTGCAATTGATAGCTCTGGAAATTCTAAGATTAGCTATGAATTGGTTTCAACAATTGGGGCAACTGTGAGTGATGGAAAGGAAAGGGTATTGGAAGCTGAAGACAGGGCTTGTCACTTCCTTCAGTTGTCAGGACAGAAAAAGATACTGGGTGGAAACGTTTTCTTGAAATGAGAAAATGCCCAATATTCTTTGAATTTGGCAATGATCTTACTACTTTCATATAATTCCTTTATTTACCACTGCTCTTGTTGTTGTTATATACCATTGAGTTGAAACTGACTCATAGCTGACCTTCCAGTGAGTTTTCAGAGCTGGTAAATTGCATGGGAGGAGCTTGCCCATCTTTCCTTGGAGCAGCTGTTGAAGTCAAACCATGTGCCTTAATGTTGGCAGCGTACTCCTTGCCACTATGCCACCGTTCATAGTGACCTGGTGGGTAAGGAGTCATGCTGCCAACCCAAAGGCAGGCAATTAGAATTTACTAGCTGCTTTCAACAAGAATGGACAATCTCTTCCCATGCAATTTACAGCTTCTGAAAATCTGCTGTAAGGTCAGCTGTGAGCAAGTTCCGAGTCTTTGCTACATAACAACAGCAATAAATTGTATTTCTCTACTTACAAGCCTTTAATACACAAACACGGTTGTGTGGATATTTCTTGAATATGATTATAATTTGTGATAAAGTTCAAATGTAATGCCTATCTAGTTACTTAGCACCCCACATGTTGTTGTTTGTTGTTTAATGCCATCGAGTCGTAGACGACTCATAGCGACCCTAGGAACAAACAGCCTGAGCACTGTTCGTACATAGAGTTTCCGGAGGCAAGCCATTTCGGAAGTGGATGCCGCTCCTGCTTCCAGGCTTGATTTAGTCAGGAAGCTCCCGCCAACACTGTCCACCATGGGTGCCCATTACCACGAATGGCACATCACTGTCACAGGCTTCAGCATCACAGCAACCACGAGTTACCTCTGTACAGCAATGCACAGACCAGTGCTATACCACCTAGAAGAATGTTTGACAGGAAGACATAGCAGAATAATAATAAGCTCTCCATGCTAATTGCTGGTTTAATGTTTATAATTCTCATGTCCAAATGGCTGCCTAATTTGCATAGCTTTCCCATTTTCTCTGACTCTGAGTAATAAGGACTGACTGAGGTAACCTGGGGTTGCTGTGATGCTGAATCTTGTGAAATTGTGGTGTCAAATGCCATAATGGTTAC